ATTTTTCGTAGGAATGGGATTGTGACGGGAATTGAAAATAGAGCAAAAAAGAAGTAAGGTGGAAAGGCACAGAGCCCTATTTCAAGTGTGCCGCAATGATGTCGAGAAACCATGTATTTTTTGTTAGAATACACTTATTTTATACTACTCAGTAGTTCAGTTTAAAAGATAAGGACATTTTTGGGAATTCCACTAACAATTACAAGTCAAGACAACTTAAATTTAACGGAAGGGGGATATTGTAACTTTAATAAAATCTTAAGGGGTAAATAATTCAGTTCTAAAATTATAAGGTTGATTTAATAATTATGACCTAACTCAAGGGGGTAATCATAATTTTCCCGTAAATTTGATGCATTTGTCCTTATAATTTTAAAACTGCGTCAAACACCTTTGTGTTATAATTATTCATATGCAAAAACCCCTCAAAGAACAAATTTTACAAATTTGAAACCAATTTTTAATAACATGATTAAATGTGAAAGTAGCTTTGTTAAGATCTCTAAATTATACAAAATTACTAATTGTTAAAGTCTCACACCGGATATCTCTAAAAGAATTAAACACTATATTAAGATTTGAGCAACTCCTCCTATCAAGTTGACCTTTTAGGATGGAACCCCGGGTCTTAACACTAATCATTTTTTAATTATTTGATAAATAAATTTATTCATAGAAGGATTTTACATATTAATAATTACTCCCTCCGTATCACATATATCTTCCCACTTCCAAAGTGGGTGAGATTAAGAATAGTGAAATGGGGTATGAATTATTGAGGGTATGATGGGAAGATGGTAAAATAATGTGATGGAATGAATGGTAAATCCAAAAAAAGTAGGTGTAGTAGTGTATAATTTTTTAAATTATTGAGGGTATGATGAGAAGACTTAGAAATGAGAAGATATAAATGTTACGTCAAAAAAAGGAAAGTGGAAAAATATGAATGTTACGCAGAGAGTATACACAGGGAACTGCGTAAATTATATTATACCGCCGGTTGTACCATCCGGACGGTACATCCGGTGGTTTTAGTAGTGTGACGTAAGCAAACACATCCCCTTTCCTTTCTTATTATGTCTTCTTCCGCCATCAATCCGTCATCTCTTTTCTTTCTTTTCTTCCGCAGCCATCTCTTTTTTTCTTTTTTTCAGCCGCAATCCTCGTTCGGGAGTGATCTTTGTTTTGTCATCCCATGTGAATCCGTTGAATCATTTTTTTAGTCGTTCCTCTCTTGCTGAATCATCTCATTTTTAGTTTTTATAGTTACTTTTTAATTTTGACTTTTTTATTTTCATGTTTTTCTTTACTTTTACCGTTAGCTACTTCGTCTTTGTTTTGTTTAATTTTGTCTTTTTTCTTTACTTCTTTTCATTTCTTTATTTGTTGTTTACTTCTTTCTTTTTCTTTATATATTAATACTGAGCATATTAGGAATGAGCTTTATTTTAAACTCAAATGAGTAAATGCCTAAAAATGAATATACACAAATGAGATTTTGAATTTTTGGATACTTCATTTGTAAATTATATATGTTCATTTAGTAACTCCGTTATGCTCATTTTAAAAATGTTTTCATCAATGCATATTTCAAAAGTCTCTATTACATTAATTTTATATAGGAGTTGTTTATAGACACGAGATCACAAATCATGATACTCAATCGCAAATTGTAATACCCAATAACGGAGGTTTTGATGCTCACTGAAAATGTATTGCTGCTCAACGAACAAAACTTACAATTTTCATGTCAATGTTCATATTGTAAGTTACATATGCTCATTTGTATATGTTTGATGCTCATTAAATATATTTAAATGAGCATATTAGAAAATTTAAATGAGCTTTTGAATTTTTCAATGATCATTTTATAATATATGTATACTCATTCAGGACTAGTGTTTATGCCCATTTTAAAATGTCATATCAATACTTATAAAACTAATGCTCAACATAATAGGTATCATGCTCATTAAAAGTACATTAATGCTCGTTTAACAGAAACCATTGTTTTCATCTCAATAGAGAAGGTTTGATGCTCAATGAAAATATCGTGATGTTCAACTAACAAACCAACTAACAAATTCATTAATAATCATTTTGTAAGTTATGTATGCTCATCTGTACTGATCTTATGCTCATATGTATTGGACTCTTAATGCTCAACATAATAAGTCTGATGCTCATTACAAGTTCATTAATGCTCATTCACAAGAAATTGTGATTTTCATCTCAATAGCGGAGGTTTGATATTTAATAAAATGTCGTGATGTTCAACAAAAAAAACTTACAATTTTCATATCAATGTGAACTCTGTAAGTTATATATGCTCATTTGGTACTGATGTAAAACTCATTTTTACAATGTCATATCAATGCATATTTCAAAAGTATCATATTATATTAGACTCACATATTGAAATTAATAAACGTGGATTATAGATATAATTTAATAAGTTTTTATAAAAGAAAAAATAAGAAAAAGAAAGAGAATTAGAATACATGGAGCAAATATCGTGAAACTCATTGTTAGCCTCCTAATACTCAATAAAATAGGTCAGATGCTCACTAAAATTACACTATTACTCATTTAGCGAAAGTCACGATTTTTCGTTTAAATTACAAAATTGCCACCGAAAAAAAAATGGCCTGTATTGAATGTTGGGCTGTCTTCCTTAGTTGGGCCGGGTGTATGTACACCCGGTTGTATGATATAGGCTCTCCAGGGAACTGAGGGAAGTTTGACCCATTTTTTAAATGAGAGAATACTAATTAATGCGTCGAAGTCACTTGTTCTTATCTTATGTTGGATGACCCCAACCAACTAGTGAATTTTGTCATCATCGAAGTATTTAAAATACTTGATTCTGTCGTTGTAACAAAGTATATGTTGAAACTCTTCATGTGTCCAGTTGTATGTAGGGCGGATGTCTATATAGCTATTCTCAACATCAACTACTTAATTTATTAAATTCAATTTTCTAGCCAAGTGTTGTTTGTTTTATCACATTTCATTTCTAATATTAATCAGCATAAGTATTTTGCTGCATATTGCTGCATGCAGTAAGCCTAAAAATGATACTATAAGCTTAATTCCAAGAACAGAGTATAAAATTTGGCAAATTCTACTTTGGGCAGGTGAATCAATTAAAATACGTATTTTTATAATTGGGTAGTTGTAGTTCAAACCTAAACAAAAAATAAAATAATGATACGTATTAATCAAATGGTTTATAAATAAGTATTGGGTATTAATTCACCTTATACCTCAACTCAATAGTAACTCAACTCAATAAGGTATTAAGGTCGTATGACATTCACCTTAAAACTTGGACTAAGGATGATGATTGCAATCATCTCGGTCAATCAACATATAATTTTGAACCTCTTTAAACAAAAATCGTGTATTGTCAATCCAACATCATTAATATATTTATTACTCACAACAATTTATTTTTAATGAAAACTTACTTTTATTATTATACATCAATTCGTTACCAATATCTTTTTACGAAGATTTAAAAAGTCAAACAATTCGATGTAAAAATAATAAAAACATTTTGAAGCAAGTTATTTTTTCTGTTGTTATCTTAGACCTTTTTTTGAAATAAACTGAAAGATGTAGAAAAAATGTGTATCCATGCAATCTTAAATTTAGCAATTGAATCTAATTGAGAAAAATTTTGAGCCAAAAACAATTCCAACATTCGGATCTTTAGACTTTTCTATGATTTTATATACACAACATGTTGAATTTTACACTATTCACATGCTCTACTTTGACTACAATTTACGCAATTATTTTATGAAAATTATTTTTTTAAAAGATATTGTTCATTTCATCTCATTAGAAAGTTTCAAAATCCGATTTTAAATTTTTTTTACTAATAGAGATTAAGATATTATTACGGTCAAAGACGTGTGTTGGCAAATATGAAATGTTGACCGTTGCAACTGAAAAAGAACGGATAAAGTATTTTCTAATAAGTAACCTACTAATTCATTAATAAATAAAGTGTAATCAAAGTAAAACAATATAAAATTTAACACGTTGCATTGATTTAATAACGGATGAAATAATAATTGTAACCGTCAAAAGCAATCCATAATAAGGTTGGTTGTCATGTTAGTAGGGTTATTATGCCTATTTTGGAACAACCATGCTTGTTGTACCCACCACTTTGTACCCACCTTATACCCACCTCTGTGAAGACTATTTTTTTGTCTGTGAAGCCGGTTCACAGACAAAATATGTCTTTGAATTTCTTCACAGACATATTTTGTCTGTGAAGGAATTCACAGACAAAAAAAATAACTTCACAAACATGGGTGGGTACAAAAGTGGGTATAAAAGTGGGTACAAACATCATTTTCCATTTTGAAAATGCAACTTGCATTCTTGAAACTAGTGTCAGATATATTTCGTACGTATAAACTGGGGACAAAGAAACAATAAATATTCAAACCGGGCGGCCAGAGAACCTAATAAACCAAATAAAACGAAAAGGACGCCACTCAAATTTATTTTTAAATTTAATTTTTGAAAGTACCAAGTAATATGAGTATTTGTTGTAATATTTTTCACATAAAATGTGAATTAATGAAGTGTCATTCAAAAACAATAAATCACTTTTACTATCAAATGGAGTTTTTATGAAGGAATCTCGAATATTAAGGTAGATGAGAGTCAATATCAATCCATAATCAAAATAAATGAATGGTTGATATCAATGCAAATCATTTTGGCAGGCAACTACTGACTCCGTCCCGTTATGATTCTCCCATTTTACCATTTCGATCTGCCCCACTAAGATTGTCTCATACCTTATTTGGTGAAGTTTGTGTCTAAATCATTCCTATTTTATTCTTACTTTATCAATTCAATATCAACCACATAAACCCACTTTTATTAATAACCGTGTCACTTTCTCTTGTCCCAAAGATAGGGGACGGAGGTAGTATAAGTCATCATGCATGAAAGTAAAGGGCCTAATGGGGTACCTGAATAAGGAGGAGAGGGGCGCCGGTGATACCATCGGAGCCAGGGACGTGGTGCAGAAGCTTGCGGAGATAGGGGGACGGCGACTGCACAAAACGGCCCAGCTTGCGGAGGGGAAGGTCAGCCTCCGCCCTCACAAAGAGCACTCCCTCGCCGTTGCAGTCAACGGTGAGCTTCTTGTTGGGGCCTTCGAACAGCCTGCCGGCCAGCGGGTAAAAATACACCAAGGCCTTGGCCAAGCCATCCTTAATGAGGCTAGCCGGATCATCGTAATCGTCGTCGCCGTTTCGGAGTTTAGATGCCGCGGCCGTCTTGGGCTGGTAAAACCACAGGCCGGGCATTTGGTAGCGGAGGCTGGCTTGGTCATCGATGTCAGAGAGCGGCTTCTTCTCTCGTGGGGTTGGCGTTTTGGGCGTCACCAACTCCGGCTTACACATCCGGACTGACAATCTAGGTGGAAACAAGCACCCCATTCTAGCTGTACTACGTATGTAGGCCAGTTTGGAAGAAATTATAGAAAAGATTAATAAGAAAGAGAGTAGTTTGTTAATTAATTTGGGTGGTGTGCTTACCTTACATTATTGTAGTGGTATTTATAAGCATGCTGGCGTTGCTTAGGTATGACCGTTTCATTGTTGCTCACCTTATCAACTTGTTATATATACGGAGTACTAATGAACAATACTACCTCCGTTCTTTAATAAGTGCAACATGTTGAATTTTACACTATTCACACATTGTACTTTGACTACGTTTAATTAAATAATGTATTAATATATTTTTTTTAAAAAAATATTGTTAAATTTGTCTCATTTTAATTTTTCAAAATCTATTTTTTAATTTGTTTTTACTAATAAAGAATTATATATATTAATGGTCAAAGTTGTGTCTCGACAAGTGTGAAATGTTGACCGTACCGTTGCACTTATTTAAGAACGGAGGAGTATATAACAGTTGTTAAATATATAGCTTAGATAGATATCGTGGTATTAATTGGAGCATGGTTTAATTTGTGTCAACTCTATGTACTCTCTCATTCTAAATAAAGTAATTGGTCTAAATAGGACCAAAACATAGATAAAACCCCAAATTATTAGGACTTAATATGTTTTATTCTCCATATAGGAGTCATCTGCTCCTATTATCAATTTTTACGTTATCTGCAAAGTCTAAAATGTCCTTGTGCGTATCATTGCCTCCACCTCCAGCGTAGATCTTCTTCTTCTTTTTGTGCGCCATGCTCTTCTTCAGCAACTCCAACATATATCAATCCTCTTATCCTGCAACCTAAAATCAATAATCTCCCCTGCAATTCCAGTAGCGATCATCTTCTCCTGCACCTCAACAGTTGATCCTTCTCTATGATGTTCAGTCCAAAACTCCAGGTTGTTCTACTATTCCCCTTCAATTCTCATAGCCTCTCTTTCCTTTTCTCTCTTCCTCTTCACATTCGAACATTATCTACCAGATTCCTCTTCCTTATTTGATTTCTTTTTCTTCTTACTCTGTTTTGTAATAAATGTCATCTTTGTCCTCAGAATGTCATGGAGATGACATTTCCATATATATAAACATGGCAGTCGTGGAAAATGTCAAGTTGATAAAAATATAAACATGGCAGTCGTGGAAAATGTCAAGTTGGTGTCATTTTTACTCTTTAGAAATGTAAAATAAAAATATCATCTTGATAAATGTAATGCCAAGAGAGTGACATTCTTTCCAAATCAGTGTTCAATAACATAGCAATTATTCCATTTTCAGGTTCAATTGGTTAGAAAAGTGGAAAATGTCAAGTTGGTGTCATTTTCACTTTTTAGAAATGTCAAATAAAAACTGTCATCTTGGTAAATGTAATAACAAGACAGTGACATTTTTTCCAAATCAGTGTTCAATAACATAGCAATTATGCCATTTTCAGGTCCAATTGGTGAGAAAAATAGTATGAATTATTTAAAGTGAATTAGATAAAATTTATAAAAAAAAATGAATATCCAAAAGAGAAGAAAAGAGTAAAAGTGGAAGAAAGAAAACACAGAAACTTTAAAGACTAAGAAGAAGAAGAAGAAAAAGAAGAAGCTAACCTGGGAAAGTTGCAGAGGCAATGCAGAGACATCCTTTAACGCAACATTCACAAGTCGCGAACGGGACAAGAGTGGCTTTGCAGGGCAGTTTTGGTATTCTATCAATATTTTAGTCCTATGTTTTTAAGCGTAAAAGTGATAGTCCTACGATGAGTTTTTTCATAAGTTTTAGTCCTATTTAGGCAAATCTCTCTTCTAAATAATGTCATTGCTTTTAATAATAATAAAATTCCGCCAGGCACACACACGCCATAATGAAAAATATCCTTGTTGCATACTTCGTATGAGGTTGTATTTGACTATTTGGTGAGAATATAATTCTCTTATAATTAAATTAAATGACGTGAATGCATACTATTGTGTGTATGTTATAAACATAAGGGATTTTTACATGCATGTGTAAAAATAAGACATATAGTTTCCAATTATGGGTATGTCTTCGATGCTACTGCCATTGAGCGTTATTATACAACAATGCTTGATGTACTTACTCTTATACCCACCATGTTTGTGGAGGTTTTTTTGTCTGTGAACCCGGTTCATAGACAATATTTTGTTTGTGCAAAATATTGTATGTGAGCCGGGGTTCACAGAAAAAAAACTTCACAAACATAGGTGGGTACAAAAGTGGGTATAATTAAGAGTGGGTACAAAGATCATTTTTTGTTATTATATTCACTCCCCAATGCAATCAATGAGTGAGAAAACGATTCAGTTCAAATGATCGTCGACTCACTCTCTTTATGAAAGGTCTCGAGTTTGAAATTCTGTTAACTCAATTTCAGCCTTGTTTACTACAGGCTCCAACCCCCATGTGTTAAAACAAAAGCAATAAGTGACAAAGCACAAAATCGTCCACTCCAATGCCATTATAATCCATATTAGTGCATGCCCACCACCACAACATTAATCACACACCACCACCACCTCATTCATCCTCTTCACTATCACCAACCAACTTCACTTGTATCTCTAACAATTGTTCATTGCATCTTAATTATTACTACAAATATATGTGTGTGTGTGTGAGAGAGAGATATACATGGCCTTCAATTCACTACACACCATCGCCTCATTCAGTGCACATGACTGCCCTCTTCATTGCTTTATAATTTGTTTTCTTTGGCCTTCTAACCTATCAATATCCATCTCTTGTGGCAGGAATAATATTAAGAAGAATACTGTCTGCCACCTAACTGCAAGGCAACATGAAATGATGAAAGTTAAGAACGCCGGCTACACCATCGTGAAAGGGTTGTAGATGAAACATGAAATCAAGGGTATGTGGAGGATGGTTTGAAGAGCTACATAACATCCTTTGGGCCTATTGGACAATGCCGAGGATAGCAATCGAGGAAACTCCTTTTCCTTTATAATACGGATTTTGAGGTCAAGGCACCGACAGAGGTTACCATCACCTCTCGGCATTTCGAGCAATAATAGAGTTCAAACAGAATGTGGAAACATGCAGTTTGACCTACACCTCGTCATCGAGCGTAGGGAACAAGCTTACCTATGAGCTGAGAACTACATATGCCAAGTCTAGGGATACTATGATGGCAAAGTACGCTCTCGGAAATTCCAAGTAGGGGGGATCCTCTATTGATGGAAGGCCAATCCAGCAAACCAAGATTGGAAAGTTAACCCAGAAGTATGATGGGTCCTATATCATCACCACCTTGATCAAATTTGGCACCTACAAACTCAAACTCCCTAATGGATAAGAAGTCCTATATCATCACCATCTTGATCAAATTTGGCACCTACAAACTCAAACTCCCTAATGGATAAGAAGTATTGTATTATGGAAGAAATACCATGATTAATAATCATAAGATGACATGCAGGGTGAAGCCCTCATCCCAAAATTAAAGAGCTTATGTATAACCATACTCCTTTGTGGGTAATTGATACGACCATACCCTCACCTACAATGTCCTTATCATCAATAAAATGATACTTCCAACATATCTTTGTGTGAAGATTAAAAAGGAATGAAAACCTAGGGGTCAGCCTCAACAACACGCGACACTAGAATTGGAAAGCGGTCGACGGTACATCATAGTAATCTGAGATGGGTACTGCTTCGCCGCTCCAAAGCGATAGGGCTACTAGGCAATCGAGGATTTGGTCTCAAAGCACCCAAGAACTTTTCAATGGGACTTCCAATGGCCAACAATATGATCGTGTCATACGAAAATGGAGTTTGCAATGCCTAAAGTGAGCGGACCAAGGGTCATGGAGTACCCTCGTCCCACGAGGCGGCCATGATATATGACACCTCTCGCTACAACAAAGGCATCAAGTGTCATTGGCCATCCACGGCTGAAAGTGACTACAACCCGACCATGATACATTATTAACATTAATGCTCGAGACCCGTACTTCTTCTAAAAAAAAGGAGATGAGGGCATGACTCACTGTCACCCTCATGCAAAATTACATACATTCCCTAGTCATTCATTTCAAGAATTTCATGATCATTCATTTAGAGTGCGGGAATGAATTATGAAGGAAATACTTTTGACTTTGGCTGAGGGCCTAGATCGCACATTCGCACCCTTGTCCCCAGTCAAAGCATTCTACATCTACTCAAGCAAAACATATAAACTTATAAAAAAACTACAAAGATATATGTGGGCCAAAATGAAGTTTCCTTAGATAATGAAGAATACATAGGAGACTCAAATGCCATTGTATGACATCATACAAAGGGCTATACTGTTCTATGAAGGCGACTTCATTTTAACTGGGACATACCAAGATCATACATTTGGGGACCCTCCCTGATCACATCCTCCTAACAAATCGCCATCAACCTCTTCATCCGCGACTTCGGAAGCCTTGTGGGAGGATTCTGTAATCTTCTTTTGCAGTTCCCCTACTGGCAGAACACATGTGTCACCCATGTCCCGGCCTCAGGCCCATCGAGGCATCCACCACACTTCTTTCCACTTAGCTCTAGCTGAATACATGGCACTCCCCTAAGCCCAAATGCAACTTTGGGGGAAACCTCTCGTCCACATTTATCCTCCGCACTAATAGGATTCACAACCCAGCGTCGATCACCATCTCCATGCACTAATACAAGAACCCCCTCGATTGCATACATGATTTTTTTAGGACATGAGTATGATAAGCCCCCTTATCTTTAGAGTGCATGACAACACCCTCACCTCCACTGTCGCACTCCCGAGTTCAATATTGTCCATGATGGTTTCAATCTCGTGACCTTTGGACAAAGATTCTCACATAGAGTTGAATTGGTCAGGGCTCGCCAACGAGATGAGAGCATCAGTATGGAGTTGATGAGTGCCTCATCATAGAATGCACCTACTCTTTTAGACAATGTTACTCTCAGTCTTGAGGACTGGGGTACTAGGGGACTACACCCTGAGCCTCATATAGAACATCACTCAACAAAATCAACTCCCTCTCATCTCAAATGCTCTCGACTAATGGAGTACATAGAGGAGCTCCTGATGGAGTATATGGTCCCAGGGCCACGGACCACATACTCACAAACATTTGTAATCAATCAAATAATACATTATGGA